TTTCAATACTTCAGTGTGTTAAGTTGCTGTTGTGGTTTTTGTATAAAATGTTTTACAGGCTTAGCCTGTAAAAAAAAGTTATACCGTTTAAATGCCATAATCTAAACACCACTTTGGAAGCTACGTGAATCCTTTTGCGGGTGGGGGCAAAGTAACTCTGGAATAAGACAGCTGTATGGGTATAATTTGCAAGGCAGACAAACTTCATGTGAGGATAGCATAAACACCAGCTGTGGGTGAACTCTTGGACCTACTGAAGTCAATCAAAATTGTGGCCATTGCCTTCGGTGGTGCAGGAATTTGTTCTCAGTTTTCTAAAGTGAGCAGCTTTAGGAAGGTAAATTGTCTTGTGCTCTGCATTCCCAGGCTGCTGCCTTATCTTGGTAGTTATGATCCCCGTTGTGTGTGATGTCCCAGATGTATCATTTAGTATGTTCAGATTTCACATATATTAGTTTTTATGTATTTAGGCATATATTTGTTTCTTTAACATGTATCTAAAATATATGTATGTATAAGTATGTTTACATAATTTATAATGTTCATACATATATAATGTATGGTGTGCATATAATATACAATGTATATATAATACATGATATGCAAGTATGTACACACACATTAGGAAGTATATTAATGTTTTTGGAAGATATTGACAACCTTAGAAAGAAGCTGCTATACAGTGGGCTAAGGTAAAATTATGCAATCCATTTCTTTCTTGCTCTTAAGTGCCCATCCTGTCCTTCTATTAGCATTTGTGAATTTCATTCCAAATTTCCATGTATTTTCCTGTGCTACCCACTTTCTAATCTGAAACCAAATTTCTCTGTACAATTTTTAAATTTATGTGATAGGTCATGTTATTTAAATTTCTCTCCTCTTTGTCTACCTAAACTTATATAAGTATTTTGTATCTCATTAAACTATTTGAATGTATTTTCAAAAGCATTTCACTCCATAATACCAAATTATCATTGAGTTATCCAGCAAAATTCAAATAATAATTTTATATAATCAAAATTACTGCTGCAGACTGCTGCTATGGTTATGCACTCCCAACTTATCAATCTACAAAGCACAACACAGCTGTGTACAGGTAAGCAACATGGAAAGACAACTTGTACTAAAAGTTTTATAACAATTGTTTTCAATTCAAATACGTTTTATATTCTATTTATAGCCATACAAGAATTTTAAAAGAAAATACATTTACTTGAATATATTCAACTAGAGTTTTTCATGTTTTGCTAATCAAAGCAAAGTTTTGATGGTGTCACTGGTCTACAGAGAGAAAAGAATAAGAGAAGAATAAGGAGGTCCTGCAAAGAAGGCTGTCAAGCCCAGCTGTTTTAGCATCCTGAGCTCAGCCTTAACAGGACACTATACTGAAGTTCAACCAGAGAGAACAGGACTAGATCAATGTAACTCTCATCTATTTGCTTTTCTCCAAACAGTACTTTCTTTCAGACAGCACTTTCTTACTAATTGCACTATGGCATTACTTATTGACCAAAAATTTATTTGATTATGTATTCTGGATACAGACTGTACTGTTCTTAGTGTTATTCTTTTTTTGATCACCAAAGCTGTCAATAAATAAAAAGGTAGCTGGTTACCTGTGGGGTTTGGTTTTCCCGCAGCTAAACATACAACAAAGCGTGTTTACTGCATAGAGTTGCTTATACCCTGCAGGGAGTTTGATAACCACAGAATCAAAATGGTTTGGATTGGAAGGGACCTTAAAGATCATCTGGTTCCAACCACAATGCCATGAGCAGGAATACCTTCCACTAGACCAGGCTGCTCAGGTTCCCATCCAACTTGGCCTTCAACACTTCATGGCACAGGGCATCCATAACTTCTTTGGGTGATCTGTTTCACTGCCTCACCACCCTCATAGGAAAGAATTTCTTCCTTTTATCTAATCTAAACCTACCTTCAGTTTAAAGCCATTACCCCTTTTTCTGTCACTATGTGCCCTTGTGAAAAGTCCCACTACAGCTCTTTTATAAGCCCCTTTTAGGTACTGGAAGGTTGCTGTAAGGTCTCTCTGAAGCCCCCTCTTCTCCAGGCTGAACATCCCCATCTCTCTCAGCCTGTCTTCATAGGAGAGGTGCTCCAGCCTTCCAATCATCTTCATGGCCCTGCACTGGACTTGCTCCAGCAGGTGCACATCCTTCTTTTGTTGAGGGCCCTATAGCTGGACACAGCAAGAGCGGCATAGAAGGAGCAGAATCTCCTCCCTCGACCTGCTGGCCATGCTTCTTTTGATGCATCCCAGGGCACAGTTGTCTTTCTGGGCTGCCAGTGTAGTCATGTTGAGTTTCTTGTCTACCAACACCCCCAAGTCCTTCTCCTCACGGCTGCCCTCTGTCCACTGTCTTCCCAGCCTGCTTTTGTGCTCACGATTGCCCCGAGGCAAGTGCAGGTCCTTGGACTTGGCCTTGTTAAATTTCATAAGGTTTGCACAGTCCCACCTCTCACGTATGTCAAAGTCCCTCGGGATGGCATGCCTTTCCTCCAGAGTGCCGACGGCACCACTCACCTCCATGCCGTCGCGAACGTGCTGAGGGTGCATAATGAAGTCGTAGTACTGTTTGTCCACTTATATAAGATAATTGTCTCCGGTAGGGCCCTTGCAGTGTGGCACTGGCCGTCCAGTCACTAACCAAGGCTGATTCCTGTTTTCCGCCTGCGCCTTGCAAAGCTCTCTCGATGACCCGCGTTTGGGAGGCAGCCACTTGAAGTCAGAAGAGCTGGAGCCCTCCATTCCCACGCCCGCTCCCCAGCACACAAAGCCTCGGCGGGAAACGTGTTTTTCAAATCGGAGCGCTTGGGCACGCCTCCGGCCGTCCGCCCTGCGCCCGCCCCTGCGAACGCCGGGTTCGCGGGCGGGCTGTGCCGCAGGTGAGGGCGGCCCCGCCGGGGCGGGGCGAGGTTGTTCTGCGGACACCGCTCCGCTCAGCCCCGCTCCGCAGCGAAGGCCCCGGGGCCGCCTGAGGCTCCTTCCTCCTGCTTCTCCTCCTGTCTCTCGGCTCCGCCGCCCTGCGGCGGCGGGGCGGCGGCGGCGGCCCGATGAGCAGCACTTTCCCTGGGCTGATCTGGCGACGTGGTGGGCTTCACGACTCCTGGACCACACGCTCTGCGCGTAAGCACTCCCGCAGAGCGGCACGGGTGGCGTGCGGGCCGGCGGCACGGGCCGGCCAGGGGGAGCCGCGGGAGAGGGACCCCGCTCCACTCCCCGCCGCATGCCCAAGCGAAAGGGAAAGTGCTGGTTCCCAGGGGTCTGGGGCCGGGACCCCCGCGGCGGGGGCAGCGAGCCTTGGGCCGGCTGTCTCAAATATCCACGGAGAAACCTAGGACGATAAGAGAAACACAAGTGCATCTCTCGCCGGGCCCTTCCTCAGCAGGCCTGTGCCCGAGCGAAGAGGACAGCCATATCTTCCTCCTTGAAAAAGGTGCTGCTTTCCCAGCTGTAGCGGCGCTGAGAATAAAGGTAGAGTCCCCCCACCCCCCACGCCAAATCCAGAGATGCTGCAGAGTGAGGAGTCCGCAGCACTTTGGACAGGCGATCTTTGCAAACTTTCTGGTGCTTATAATAAAACGCGGAACTTAGAGGAACTCAGCACCTCTGACTTAGCTCTGTTGTGCTTTTCGGAGAGGAACTGTTGTCATGTGCTTTGCCTTCCCGCCCTTGGCACTTTTTTTTTTTAAACTCCCTGGTACTCTTTCATTGGCTCGTCCTTCTTTGTTGATGTCAGGACTCTGCCCCGGAGCTATCTTGTGTAATGTACGCTCGTTATAATTTGCCTCCATTCACCTACAGTACATTTTTATTTAGCATAGGACTCCTATGCTAATTGCAAGATATTTCAGAATTTGGTATAGAAACAAATGTTTATGAGCTGCCCCATTTATTAATAGGCATTGTGCAGAGTATCTTGTGTTGAAAAAGTACATTGCTTCCTTTAAGTCTGGGTGAAATTCCATGAAAAGGCATCTTCCTTACAAAAGACGGTTCAATAGAAGCAAGAAAATGTATAAGCCTATTTCTAGTGGAAACTATACAATTCTAGGCTTACCTTCCATGTTCTTTCTGTTATGCCACACAACACCCCATCACGTCTTACACAAGCGCATTCTTGCTGATGAGAATGTTGTCTGATGAAGGCAAACATTAGACTATTGATAACTCTAAGAGTTTTTAAAAACCCTAACCAACCAATGAACAAAATAGAGAAAAAAAACCAAAAATGTTTATTAGACTTGATTCGGTCTTCATTTTTTCACAGGACACAGAAGCAGACTGACACATGCCTTTTGCATGCCCCCTTATTTCTTAGAATTAAAAAAACTTTTAAAGGCTGACAGGCACAGCTGAAGATGTAGTAAATTCTTACTCTTTCAGCATTGGTCTTCGTATTTGTCTTTCTCAGACATTACTCATTAATTCCAAGAGCAGCTTTGGTAATTAAAGAAAAAAGGCCAGGGAACAGCTTTAATGAAAGAACTATGACAAAAAGGGAGCAATAACTATTTTTGGATGGTCTTTAAGGACATGGCAGCATCTCCTTAGATCTTCTTGTACAGCTTTACTAGCGCAGTACATTAATAAATTGCTGACAGTCATACTAAGCCTTTACAGTGTTCTTTCTGAACTTAGAAATAACGACTGTTTGTTTAGTAGGTGCCTGTTTCCTTCAAAATATATTCCTTCAAATACTTTTAAAATGTCCCCTAAGGTTAGATATTTATTAGTTTGGAAGCTGCTTGTTGAATCTCAGTAAACATGACATTTAAAATTGAAAAACAAAAAAGATTGAGGAGGGGGAAATAGTGACTAGTCTTTAAGAACTTACCATCTTGGTTTCCCAACAGTCTTGAAGCACAGGGACCACAAGGTAGAATGTTGCAAACTTAATTGTGCTGGGCACGGTACACCAGAACTCTTATGTGTTTTCCAGCCATGACAGAAATAACCTCAGGCACTATTTCCCAGTGGAGGCAGTAGGCCAGGGCCCCTGGTTTGATTTCACTTAGGAGGCACTAATACTTGCATCTTGTCACTTTCCAAGGAAGCAGTATATTTGATCTCACTAAATCAATATAATTAATGCATGTATTTTTTCATTTGTAGCTAATATATGATAGTTTTGCCCAGTATCTGGTAACGGAGAAGGGTTATGACGAAGACTTGCTGATTCTAGCTCCAGACAGCTTAGACTTCTGGTGAGTACATTGAAGATAATAGAAACTTTTTTCATAACTTCCTTTATGCTATAACTTCTACAAAGCTTGGAAAACAGCTTCTCTTACTAGGCAGTTGTTGTTAGGAGTGTCAAACCCAATTGATAAATCCAAAATTACAGTTTCAAATACTTGTTCTTCATGAGATACTTCTAATGTGATATTCTGAAGAGAGAACTGAGCATTAACTTTGTCTGTGCTTCTAGCTTTTTGGGCACAAACCTTTTAGTCTGACTTACTGTCTTATTTTATGTAGCTTCTTTGTCTTCTACCTTCTATTCAACTGGTAAATCCAGTAACCATCAGAATTTAGTGATTTTTATCTTGACGGATGTGGTTTCATTTGTCTAAGGCATAATAATCCCAACAGCCTTCTGAGAAACCAAGGAAAGGTGATGCGTGAGTAGGTAGCTCTTTGGTGGCATGTCAGGCACAAAGCTGTGATGCAAAAGACTGAAATGCAAGCTTCTACTCTGAACTCAGTGGTCTCTGAGCAGGACCTTGAACTCAAGTCTTTGATCTTCAAACTTTCATAGGTTATTATCTAGGCCATGGCGGTGGGGACTTTAAAGCCAGGTAATCACTAGATTTTTTTAGGAAAAACAGAGATTTTTTAATTAAATAACGCATGTCTTCTTGTGTAAGGGTTTTTACAATATTTGACTGTACAGTTTCCAATGAGATTGATTTCAACTTCCATGAGACAAGCAATTTCTCACATTTTGAGGCCTGATGCAAGACATCCTTTGTTAAGATCTAGGTGTCTTGGGCTTGATCTCTTATTGAAGCATGAGGCTCATTAATGCGGACCTAAAAGCCCACAGTGTTGGTAGCTGTGTGTCGGTGCTACTTGCCCAGGTGTCATTCATGAAAGGTTGGGATCTGCTTGCTGCCTTCATGTCATATATTCTTTCTTTTGGATGCCTTATAACGGAGGATGAAGGTGTCATTACTTTTTCAGTCTTGTTTATTCATTTGCATTCTAACCATTGAACTCTGAACTAATTTTTCAAACAACCTAAGTAAATGTAGATTCAATTATTTGGAAGATACAAATTGATTAGGGAGAGTTAGAAACTCTTGCTGAGTGTCTCTCCTATGTGTCAACTCTTGCCCTTGTTAGTGCTGGCTAGCATGGCAATGCTTCTACTTCATATGTTCTTTGGTTATTCAGTTGCCTCATTTAAAGCAATGTTCTACCCCTCTTTCCCATAATAACTGGTGTTATCAGTCTAGTAATAATAACTAGAGGAGTTGCCACCAAAAAAAAATTCCTTTAATAGAAGTGACTTAATTGTATATGTTTGAATCTTAATCCTCCAACCAATCTATATGAATAGTCACTGAACAGTGGAATTGGATTTTTTCAGTAGAATTTTGCTATGTAAGTAAAATCCAGTCCTCATTGTGATAATATGTATTTGCTTATATAGAGCATTGTTCAAACATGAAAGTATTTGAAAGGTTGTGACTTCCACGGTTTTGTGTAGCATCATAGCTACAGAAGCACCATAGCTTCTGTAACTGCACATCACTGATAGATAAGAGGGCATTCCTCTGAAACCATTAACTGTTAGTTTCTTTCTTAAAATCAAATTATTCTTAGTTGCAAAGGCTTGGTGTTGGACATTGAAGAAGGAAACTTCGTGAAACTTGCAGAAGATGGAACAGTTTTAAGGTAATATTTACTGTAAGGTCTATATTATTAAACATAAATTGTATGTTAGATTGTATTGTTAAATACGCCAAAATTTTATCCCTTTTCTAAATGCCATCTTCAATTTTATAAATATTTAAAATACTAATTTCAGCATGCATTCATTTATTAGACGCAGAAGTTGAAATAATATTTAGTAATGTAGTGCTCAGTTTCTCTTAATGTTCAAATGCAGTCTTTTTGTAATGTTTCCCTGTTATCTCATTTTTAAAAAACATCAGAGACTCTGAGGGCACACTGATCTTGCAAGTAAATTCACTGTTTTGGTGGCTACCAATGTACTCTTTGTCCAGTTCTACTAAAATCTGGAGTAAGGTTTTTCTTTGGATTGTGAGTAACCTGACTTGGAGGCTCTGCTAATGACTAATGCTAATGATGGGAACACTATTATCTTTGTACCATATACATTCAAAATTCTGCAGGCTTACAATGTATAATTTAAATAGCTTGAGATAAATTAAACACAGAAATGACACATTCACTTTCAGAATTCTGTGGGTTTTCCTCTTTAAAGCTATATTTTGCTTTCAGTCATCATTTTGGTACATCCTTTGCTCCTCTTTCACTCCTTTTTTTGTTTTGTTTTTAAACATAGTAGACTGATATTTTGAATCAAAAATCTGAAAAATAAATATACCTAAAGGATATCAGTCCCAGCCCCATTTCTCCCTTATTTTGTTCTAGAATGAAAAGCTGTGTAATTTAGTATGCAGGACAGACTCTACTTTTTATTTTTTCTGATAGCATGTGGGAGAAGGAGCTTGAAGATGCTAGGGAAAATCAGAATTCATTAAAAGAAGAAAAGAAATACCTTTGAGTCATTGCTGTGTATCCCAAAATTCATTTAATAGCATGAATTTTGGAGTACTAAATACAGAATTCAAGATTTAAGTGTGCGCCTCATTAAAGGCAAGAGTGGTACAGGATTACTTTGCCTGGCATTGCCTACATTTGCTTCAAAATGGGGCCCAATTTGATGGTCAAACTCATTAATTTTTAATTCCTAAAAAGGTTTGTCTGTACTTCTGTATTAAAGAGCTGCTTGCAGGGCTCAAACTAGCACTTTTCCATAGTTCTGCCCTGCATTCTGTGAACGTTACGGGGCTTCAGAATGATGTATAGGCTTTCTGCACTGTGCTTTATTGTGCAGTGTATATTGATAGCTCAAGTATAGCGAGTGTCCTCACACAATTGAAAACATTCGAGCAATACAGAGTGATTGTGTTAGCAGGTGAGGCACAGTAGCTGTGCCCCCAGCCAACCAAACCTTTGTGTAGTAAGGCTTTTATCAAAAACTGTAATGTATATGGTAAAAGCTTAGGTCCTGGGAAACTTCTGAGCTATAAAGAGAGTCAGTTTTGATCAACTTGCATGCACTGCAGTATTCTGTTGCAGTGTGTTACTTTGCAGAAGTAGTAATTTGGATGTTTTCAACCATTTTCTTTTTCTTTTTTCCCTTTTTTTTTTTTTTAATGAACAACTTAATGCGTTGAATAGGGCAAGCCATGGTACAAAGAGCATGACATTTGAAGAGATCCTGGAAATATATGGAAGGAGGGAGTGGAAGCATTTTAATACAGTCAGTGGAATGGTTTCACGCACAGGTAGGTATACTTTAGCATGTCCTCTTCTTTGAAATTGCTCTGGGCCCTTCAGTGCATCATACTTCATAGTTACCACAAAATTGTAAAAATACTTGAGCTGAGAATTACTGGAATATAAACATAAAGGTAAATGTATTGGGGGAGACTTGATTTTTGTGTATTTTCAACTTCTAATTCTAGAGTTCACCTTAAATTTATTTCACCAATGATAAGACAAATGAGCTGACAGTATAGGCATGGGCACATTGTCCCTTGTTGAAGTAGACTGACGCTACTAGTATCACGATTTAACCCCAGCCAGCAACTAAGTAGCATACAGCTGCTCGCTCACTCCCTCCCCGCCCAGGCCCAATGGGCAGGAGAATCAGAAAGAACAATGAACCTGGTGGATTGAGATGAGATAAGAACAGTTTAATAATTTAAATGAAATGTTATTAGTATTATTAGCATATTAATTATTATAATTATTATTGTAATGATAAGGGGAGAGAGAGAGAGCAACAGAGCCCAGGGGGAAACAAGTGATGCACGATACAATTGCTCATCACCTGCTGATTGATATCCTATCTTATTTAGGACACATTTGGCAAATATTAAATTTTTGTCAACTGTTGACATATTAACATCAGTGCTGTTACTGGAGGCATAGGTGCAGGTGCAAAGAAAAGAGTGGGTCTGGAAACAAAATTTCTCCCCTTGCAGTTGAAGTTTATTGATTTTGAGATAGGAGTCACTTTGAGGGCACTGTGGCTATGATTGCATTCTTGCTCAGTGTTTCCTCTCTGTTTTACTTTGGTCTTGGCAATTGTGAGTAGCACACAGAAAATGCTCTGATAACTTGCCTTTTGTGTATGTAGAGGAGATACTTACCTTGAGATTTTGCTGATATGCTTATTCTAACCTGCAGGTAATCTTTTGCAATAGGGAAGAAGAGAAAGGTTTCTTTTGGTCGTATGGGAAATGTGCCTTTCTTTTTCCTCAAAGCATGTGCTTGATCTCTCTTATGACTGTTAATCCTCATTTTTCTGGCTTGTTCTTTAATACCTGAGAGACAGCACAGATAAGATCATGAAAAAAATTCACTGGTTAAGTCATTTCACTCCTAGGAGAGAGTTGTTGAACGTGACCTTAATCTGGGGAGATATTTGCACTCTCCTCATATCGTTCTGTTTTGGGTACTCATGTGATAATGTGAGCATGGCTCTCCTTGGGCTAAGGTGCTGTCTGCAGCAGCTGTGCTCAAAGGACATCACTATATGTAAGACCTGTCCAATTGTCTCTTAAACAACTTCTCAAATGCTTTGTCTGTGTTTCCACTGCTAGGGAAACAGATATTTTAGAAGAGTTGAGTGATAGTGTCCTGACTCTTAAAACTCAAGGTTCTTCACTTTTCTTTCACCTTAACTTTTAGAACCTTAAAATGTATTTCTAAAATCTCAGTGCCTTGATATAGGTAAACAACTTTTAGTTGCCAATTTTGAGAACCAGAAGTGGTAAAAGGACTAAAAAAGATTGGGAAACAGATAATGCTTATTACCAGTAAAATCAAAATAAGAGCTTATGTTATTTTAAATGTAGTTGTTATTTGTGATTAAAGCATATGATTTTTAAAAAGTATATTTTTAAATTATTTTTTCCAGCCAAGTATTATTTGTATGATAATTATTTTGACCTGCCAGGAGCTCTCTTGTGTGCAAGGGTTGTGGACAGCTTAGATCAGGTAAGAACTGGATTGTTTGAAAATCAAGTAGTGCATTATCTTTTTCTTCTACCACCAACCTTCTTGCATACATTATTAAATGCATACAAATAATATATTGAATGACATCAAGGTCTTTAGCTTTTTTCTCATATGGAAGTTTTCTTGTTGCACTTAGTGTATTAAAGTTGTCTCTGAAGATAATTGTGAGCTATATGGCATGTTCAAAATAAAAGTACTTCCACCAGAGGGCACAAATAACTAGGATACTAGTAGAAATATACTGTTTCCTCAAGTTTGCCCAATGATATGCAGAATATAGTTCTTAAAGTCTCCTTTAATTATACTTGATGGTACTCAAATTAAATATGATGTTAAGTCTTCTGAATGACATGATTCGCTAATTTGCAAGTCGTTAATAGGTTGAAAACTTCCTTCCGTCATTTTTAAGTTTGTTTTTGTCCTAAATATATTGGTCTGTGTACACAGATGTAATTACACCTCTTGGATAGTGTCTTTTTATTTTTTTCTCTGCTAAACAATATGTTAAATTCTCAATGTGAAAAGTACAATTACTTGAACCTCTTTCAATGCTTTTTGGATAGAATGTCCTAAATTCTACCTTAGAAGTTTGATGATAATTGGTTTTTTGTGTAAAAGAAGGTTTGAATCTTTAACTTGCAGCTGGAGGTAGGAGAGGGTTCTTCTCATACAGTAACTATATTGGTGACAAAGAGTACTGATGTAATCTTCTGGCTAAAGGTACCAACGTGCTGCAGCTCTGAAAATTTTCAATACTAAACTTTGTGTGCAGAATGAAAGTCAGAGCCATGATATGAGTAGCTGGGGTCCCTTTGGATATTAACTGATTTGATGCTTTAGCCTTTACTCCAAAATAGCTTGCTGAGTAGATTGTTGCCTGCGTGCTGCATGAAGAATTAGCTAAAACTGCCTTACCAGAGAAGCATGGAGGACAGATACTCCATAAGACTCTTTTCTCCCTGATTAATCTCCTTCCTCTAAGCTGTTCACAACTTAGAACCCTCTCCCAGTTGTAACACCTATATTGAATTTATTTTATATTTAATTTAAACTCAGCACAAATCACCTACTTATTGAGAGAGAAAGTAGGTCTTTGTGTGTGTGTTCACATCCAGTTACGAGTTCACAAGCTGGAGCACTGACCCAGGGCCAGTGCCGTCTTCAGCCAGAGAGAATTAAACCCATGCCGTTTCTCCAGAAAGCTACCAGAAGTGGGTCATGCACTCTCTTTATCAGCTAGCAGTTCTTGTGTATTTTACTGGATGTTGGCCCAGTTTCAATAGGAGGGCTACAGTAATTTCCTTGAAGGTTAACATCAGCTGGATGAGAAAAATGCAAGGCAGGAGGTGGTCAGCCTCTGCAGCCCAGTACTCATGCCTGCAAAATGCTGCATCCTAAGGGTTCGAAACCAGCATATTTTTCTCTTCCACATTTCTAAAAGAAAGCAGAGTCTTCTGTTTCCTGTTCTCTGACACTGTTTAGTAAGTGCTATTTCCTTACCTTTTCCAGACAACGTTCTATGGTCAGGCAAGCTTTCTACTGGAAGCAGATGAGAGAAGTACTAAGTTTGGATTCAGAATAGGTTTTGACATGAGTTGGATGCTGGACTGCCCTGCACTGTTTAAAATATACCTGCTTTTGCTATGTCCAGAGCCAGAACTCTTATGTATTTCCAGACAAAGCAGGGGAGCTTCTTGGTGTTTTTGATCTTCACACTGAAAAGCTATACAAAATATTGCTTTGTCTTGATAGTTCAACTAGTGAAATCACATTTGGTAATCACACCAAAATCATGGGGGACTATATGGGCATGCTTACAGTTTTCACTCTGCTTTTTGGGAATCAGTCAGTTTTCCTTTGTTTCTTGTATGCAACGACTGAAGATTTGCAAGGAATTAGTTTGACGGTTATTTTAGTCTTCTCTGAGTTCAAATGTTTTGAAGGAAGTGACCCTAACCCAGGAAGTAACCCTAACCCTAACCCACTTTTAAACTACTGTCCATCTGTCCTCAAAACAGCACTCTGAGGAACCGATTTTTTTAAGAGAAGGAAGCAAAAAGACAAAACCCCAAACTAAGGAGTTAATCAGCCACGTAGAGTATGAGGGGAGTAGACAGTTGAATCTGTCTGTCTTAAGGTTAGTGATAGGCTAGTTCCATTGCCACTAGACAGATGATCCCCAGTATCTCCTGTACACAACCTTGAATAATAAACCTTGGTTAGCAGCTAACTGAAGTCTGACATATGAAACCTTTTCTCTTTATTAGTTCTTTAATTTATTTCTGTGGCAGTTTTCTATAGGAATGGATTAAAAAAAGTCTCAAAGCCAAGGCACTGTATCTTTCCTGCTCTTCACCTATAGAGCTGGTGGATGCTAAGCAGACTGCCGTAGTGCTTGTTAGTTGTGCATGAAAGACCTTGTTTGTGTGACTTGCTGGTTGTAAAATTAAGGACAGACTGTTTCTCTGGAAGCCTCCATGGCAGATTAGGCCTGAAATGGAAGTTTGCTTCAGTGTATATAAACTACATGTTTTTGTTTGTTGATGTTAAGGGTTTATTTGTTGGTTTGTTGTTGTTTGGGTTTTTTTCAGTTTCTGAATGTTTCCTTCTCTAGAAAATGCTTTATTCTTGCAAAATGGGTCATTATTCAGGCATCAGTGAGGTCAATACAGAGAGGGCAGCGGTGCCCTGAAGTCTGGTAACAGTTGCTTTGAAATTTATACTAATGTAGGTGTGGAAATCCTCTAATGGCACTGCAGAGTAACTTTCCATGACGTACGTATAAACTCAAAGAGGATACCACTGCTGCTGGGCTACTGTGTAACTCTGAGCACCTCTTACAGGCTCCGTAGCTAATCCTCTGTAACACTGGATGGCTGTGTAATTGCATCTTTTTAATTCATCTCTCTTAAAATTTGTGGAGTTTGATAGTGCTGTGGGGCTCAGCTGGTTGAAAAGCTTTTCCTCTCCCTTGTGAGGTGCTGAAGGGGCTCTCTGCTCTGCTTGGGAAGCTTTCTAGGAACAGTGAGAGGCTGTTCATAAGCACAGATCACCTTCCCATGTCCTTCTGCCAGAGCTGGGGTTTGGCAGTCTTCAGAGTACAATGCAATGAAGTGCTGCTCAGCTGGGCTTCTGGATGAGTATTCCGTATGGTATTTGGGCTGGGGTTGTTGGCAGAAGGGCATTACCTCTAAATTACAGCAAAGGGATTTACCAGTTCTGAGGGTGGAAGGTGATTCGAGTGCCAGGCTGTAGACAAAGTCAGCCAGCTAATTAAGTTCAGTATAGGCACTTCTTTTTCCCAAATGTCAGTGGGATTGCTCATTTTTTAAGCTGCTGTTCTATCTAATGCCCCCCTTTGCTGTAGTGTTTTAGAGTTCCTCACAACTACAAATTGTTTCTCCTTTTCCCTTCCTCTCCCCACTATAACTCTTAATAGGGAGATAACTTGTCTGCAGTTACCCAAAGTTAAGCTGGGTACTACCAGTACAGTTCTGATGTCCTACTGTCTTAAGACTATTTTACTCCATGTGATTTTGTTTATTCATTGGCATTCCTGTCACTGTTTCAGTATAAATACTTGTAATAGCTGATACTTGATATAATGACTAGGTTGCTTTTGACACTTACAGCATGATGGTCAGAAAAAATATGACTTCTGGAAGGACATGGTGGCAGCTATCCAACATAATTATAAAATATCAGCTTTTAAAGGTAAGTGGGTTCGCTGAAGACTCACTGTAATAGCTGAAAATATCACATGCACTTGCCAGAGCAAATACATTTGCAAGTAAGCTATGGGCTACTCAACACAGCATTTACTTTTCAAGTTTACAAATAGTTGTATAGTAGACACATGTTTTCCTGGAATAGAACATCTTTGTCATTACTATTTCTATTTCATTTAGCTGAAAGTGTTTTACCATCTTTAATAACGTTTGTGATGTGCTATTTCACTTAATTTAGAGGAAAAATGGTTTCTTGTCATGATTAGTATGGTAATGTGGACATCCTTGAACTGTATTTTGAATCTGTTCCTTTATGGTCTTTTAATCATATCTAAAATCAGAAATACAATTAGAAATGCATTGGGAAAATTAGGAAAATTCAAGTACTAAGTAGAACTTTATGATTTTTCTGTAGCACTCTAGTTTTGACTAGAATTCCTCACATAGTATTCACACAATAGTGAGATTTTTATTTTGTTATAAATTTCCTAACAGTTGCAGAGAACATTTTTTTTTGTAATAGCCTTCCTTCATCTAAGGCCAACCTTATAATACTGTAATATAAATTAGAATTGGAAAACATCTTGGATACCCATCAGCTAGAAATTATTTTCCTTCTTTCACAGACATAACTTCAGAGTTTCTGTTAGGCATATAAAATACTAAGTCAATAATAAAGGCTAACCATTGAGTGTACACGCAGTTAATTAAAATTATATTTAACAATTTTTTTTGTAAAACAATTATATGCAGCTCAATTCTGAATTCTGAACTAGTATTAGAATTACCTTGGTTGATGCAACATTCATTAGGCATGAATGTAATTTTAGTTCCCAAAACTTACTTTTTGCTCACCTGAGATGTCCTGCTTGCTGTATTCCTTTCAAATGTAATTGACAAAATTGTTTCAGAGAGATTTCAAACAAATACAGAAGTTGATGTCAGGATGCATATTGTAAAAGACAGCAAGATATTCTTAAAGTGTTTTGTTAGTTGTTACTGTGTTTCCATTGAAGCATAGACTGGGATCAGTGGTTACGAATTTGCCTAGGATCTCATTCATACAGGAAATAAATGTGTCCTTTGTTTTCTGCTGATATAAAACTAACTGTAAACAGCTCTAATTATTTTTTTAGCATTTTTGTTAATTCTTTTTTCAAATCATGGCAGCTCTTTGTTTTAAATGGTGTGGATCGTGTACCATTTGGCAAAAAGAATAATTTTTAAAAGTGTTCTTTGGAAACTAACAAGATCCAAAAAAAGTTAAAGTTTAATTTTGAAATCATACAAATAACAGCTCAGTTTTATTTATATGAAAGTGTCTGATTGTGCGTACATGTGAATGTTTATGCTTATATCTACCTATAAGGTACCTATTTGTATATGTAAGCCTGGAATCTGCAAACAGATGTGTGATATGACTTAATCCTTTCTAGCTCCTGTCAGAGGCACATGCATAAGAGTGTTAAAAGTATGGGAAAGTATAGTGACTGATGGGCACAAGTTTTATTGGATAAAGCTCTATAAAGAAGTGAAACTATGCAGATTATATACACTATTCAAATATTGTAATATAAGAAAGTGATACACTCTGTCATGCATCGCTTTGAAAGGCTTCACAGTGGTTTTATTTTCCTTTTAATAGCATGGACCAGTAGATAAAGCACTGAACAAGGAGTCAGAAGAACCAGAGATAATTTCTTCCTGTATCACTTAGCACTGATATTCCCATGGAGCATCTTTTTTTGCTTCAGGCCTCTCTGTGAAATGAGAATAACCATACTGATCTTCTATCACAAGCTTCTGCAAAAGAGATTTTATTTTTCTCAATTGCATGCCTAACATAACTTCTTGAGGAAATGCCTAAACCTAGCTCCAAGATCTACATACCAGGAAGCCCCACTGTCTTTTATAACCCAGAGCCTGGCCTGAAAATCATAGGCTTTTGACTTAACTCCATGTTTTGTAGAGGGTTTAACCCCTGGGAGAAAAGCAGTGGTCATTAACACTTAGTCAAGGTAAAATTTCAAAAGCAAACTTATTAAGTGGTCAATTGAGGAGACGCAAAGTTCCCAGCCTGAAATGCCGTCTTAGTGGTGCCATTGTCAGTGACAGAGCAGAACGACTGACCATTTTATTTTTTGAAATCCATTAAGTGTTTGCAATTCACTTTGATTTGTTGTCAGTATGCCCTTGTTTCTCTATGTCCCTTCTCTTTTTCATATGATTTTTTTGATCATAATCAGGTGTTTGATAGATTTTGCTTTTCATTGTCTTAGCTATGGTAATTGCCTTAGATAATTGCCCTATGATATTTTTTTTGGATGGCTCTTTCAGATAGGCATGATTGTGCTGACTCAGCTTGATGAAGTGTATTAACCCACTCTTCTACTTGTAAAGAAGTGAAGAGCTGAGGCTTGCAAAAGGAAACTAAGAGGGTTTCAAAATAATCTTGTTATTCAGACATTCCTTTTTGAAAAATAACTCAAAAAAAAAATCTATGGAACAATACTGTCAGAAAGGTGTGATGTCAAATAGCAATGAACACAGATATTCATATTTGCAGCGTGGTCATTTCTTACCTAATAATATCTGCTAGAATACCCTCTGCAATTGATATCCCGGTTGACTTGAGAACCTGTTTCATAAATCTTTAATTTATTACTGGAATGTTTTGCAACTGTAAGGTGATTACTGTTAGCTTGTATGTGTTTTATTTAGAGCATGTTCCATAGACATTAGTAAAGAGCAATTTTAAAGGAAATGTCTTGGGGCAATGTGTTTTGTACTAGTAAGATATGTGGACTGAGGTCCTCAACATGTTATGGAGACAAAGTTTGCTCTTCAGAGGACTGATGAGAGCTTGAAGTACTGTAGAATTATTTCTCATGAAAAATTTCAGATTTGATGATTTTTTTTGACAGAAAAATCAATAGCTGTTTTTAGGCAAATGTTGCCTCATACAACTTCTTAAAGCAGATTCTTTTAAATTTCTTATCTTAAAGGCTACTTTTTCTCTCCTGCATAGTTGTCTTTCCCTATAATTTTCCTGATACTTCTGAAAACTGTAGCATCTGTGGTTATAGAGTTAAAATTATGTATTTGTAATATTTTCAATCAGTTCATAAGATTTATTTCATTTGGGAAGTAAAAAGATCTTGACTGATATAGCAGCAGACTTCATAAATTGCGCATAAGAAGGCTTGATGGGATACACATATTTTTGATCACAAATTTATGGTCTTGGCAGAAGGTAATGAATCTAGATGTCTGTGATATGTGTGTTTTATCTTTTATATGCAACTTCAAATATGAAAAACAAAAAACAAAGGTGTCTTTCTGACCAGAATGAAAGAATCCTCAAAAAATTCTGCAAAACATTGGTAATTCCTAATGTTGATATAGCAGTGATTATTTGTCTTAATTGTGAAAACTGTAGCAAAGAAGCGAGTAAACTTATTGCATTTCTTTGCTGTGCTTTCCAGCTAAATACAGAAGGGATTGTTTGGTTGCTTCATGTTTTCAACAACTTAAGGCTTCAGGAATTTCAGTACTTCTTTGGAAGTGATTTTTGTACTATTACAGGCTCTTATGTCTTCATTTTAATCTCATGTTGGATTTTCTTTCCTCTACTGCCCATGATCCAGAAGAGATGAGGTTTCTGGAAGCAATCTTTAGGTAGATTGCTGATCTTCATGTGGAGAAAATATTAAACTCAAACTGAAAAGTCTTCACAGAATCTGCCATGTTGGAAGGGACCCACAAGGATCATTGAGTCCAACTCCTGGCCCTGCACAGGACCATCCCCAAGACTCACACCGTGTGCCTGAGAGAATTGTCCAAATGCTTCTTGAACACTGTGAGGCTTAGTGCTGTAACCATTTCCCTGGGGAGCTTGTTCCAGTGCCCAAACAGCCTCTGGGTAAAGAACCCTTTTCTAAGATTCAACCTAAACCTCCCCTAACACAACTTCAGGCCATACCCTCCAGTCCTGTCACTGATCACCACAGAGAAGAGATCTTACAGACCTTCCCAAGGAACCCTCTAAATTGAGAATACAAATCTAAAATCAAAGTATAAGTTCTGCTTGTGCCACAATTTGCTGTATAGTCTCTAGCTTTTCAGTTTTAACAATTGCTATCTTAATGACACAACATCTGAGCAATTATGAAAAGACTTAAAAAGAACGGGCATATGGTACCAAACTGTAGACTTATTTGAAATCCTATGTGTTCAAGGAACAAAGATGTTAAAGGACAAAACCTGATTTAAAGTGGATGGATGATAAGGGTTAGTAAACTGTGCTTTTAAGAATATTGTCTGGGCCCAGTTTCTTGTTATTCAATTGGAATCACAGGACAGTAATGTAATGATGAGCACTAAACATCTCCCAGCAATTTAAAACATGTTCATTGGCATATGTTTTGTATGTAAAGTAATTAACCAGAAACCTCACAACCTCACAACAGTCGTATTTTCCAGCTGCTGTACCCCGTCCCTCTATTTGTTTCTGAAACAAAAGTTCCACATTGGTTGAATGTATGGGCAGTAACACATGCTCTGTTAAAATACTGGAAAGGGCTGTTGAACTAATGTGAGTGGCTGTACAGCAAAACATTTTTAGTGCAAAAAACAGATTATTCTTAAGAGATCTGTAATTAATATTTGGCCTAAAACATTAAGCTAGAAAAGTGGGAATAGACTATTCAGACTCAAGTGTCTGGAGCTTTATTTTGGCTTGAAAGAAAAGTGTTGCATGGTTGCAATTTATAAACTGTGATACTGTTCTTTGTATTATTTCCACACAAACATTTGTGTGTAGTGTTTATAATAGTAGGACTAATTTGCTTGCCTACACCCCCTTAACTGCTAAAATAAGTAGATGTCATGTCGCATTCTTTATTCAAGCATTTATTATTTTACTAAAGTATAGCCTAAACCACAGTCTTCCTTATCCGGCAGCACTTAATAAGAGGAGAAAAAAAA